TATTTTTTCAAAACTATATATATATATATATATATATATATATATATATATATATATATATATATATATATATATATATATATATATATATATATATATATATGCAAAATGTAATAAAACAACATGAAGTTTCTGAGCAGCAAAAGAAAGGTTTACTGCAAGAATGATTTTTTTCAAGTAATTGAAAATAGGATTTAATAATAAGCCTTTGTTCTTTTAACAATAATCTCCGGTTTCTGCTGCCAACTCAAAATGTTAAAATTGTATAATATGCATTTGATTGACTTTCTTTGAAAAAATGTTATTTCAAATTTCAAAATAAATCTTATAAAAAGGATCTAGAAATATTATATACATTTGAATCATTTATTTCGGAAGCCTATCAAGTGCGTTTTTTCAAATTTTCGGAAAACTATAAAAAAAATCTTTCAATTTTTCCAAGGTTTTCTGCAATAAACGTAAATTTCAAAACAAAATACAACCCATTGAATGACCGATAGTTCACGTGTTTCTGCATACGGCGGTGTGACTAAAATCGACCATTAATAATCTATAATAATACGGTTTCTGTCACGTGACGGGTTTCTGAAATAAACGACTCGTTTATGAAGCACAGCGCAATTTTTAAATCATCAACATTAAGAAAAGACCTGATTTTGTATATTTATTTGCTGTATACTATATCAAAACTGTTAACCCTTTAAAGCCCACAAGGAACTGGGAGTGTTTTTTTTTGTTGTTGTTGTTGCAAATATTCTTAAATTATTAGATTTAGTATCTTGATAAAATAAATTGGTTTTTTTTTTTTCATATTTTGACCTTGTTTTCTGACATGGGACACCGTTGTCCCTGTGGTCGGGAAATGTAAAAATAAAGATTTAAATTACTTTTTTTTTTTCTAAATAACTTACTAAATAGTTAGGTTATTATAAGCGTTGCACATATATATATATATATATATATATATATATATATATATATATATATATATATATATATATATATATATATATATATATATATATATATATTACGCATAAAAAATGTACAGCATAAAAAATTTTTTGATTTACAGTATCGGACAAAACATGGTGGTCAAACTCAAATTTAGAACAAAAGTTGATTATAAACTGATAAAACAATTGAACAATACTTAATTTTTAAGTAGTTTATTATGATGTTAACAAAATATAAAAACTTTCAATCATACTAAAAATCCCCAAAAAAATTTTATAACACATTTACCTTAACAAACTACATTTTTCTTTGGACAAAACAAGGTGGACATTCAAAAAATCACCTGAAAATTAAAAAAATTTTGAAAATTAACTTAACATTTGGTAGGACCTCCTTTACTTTCAATTACTGCTTTCATTCTTTAAGGCATAGACTCAATTAATCAACAATTCTCATTCAATCACTCCCCAGGCCTTCTGCATTTGCACGCTCAATCTTATTGACAATTATTTCCCAGAATATTTCTATGGGATTCAAGTCAGGGCTTTGTTCAGGTCACTCGATTACGGTAATATCCTTGTCTTTGAACCATTTTTTTTACAATTTTTGACGTATATTTGGAATCATTGTCCTGTTAAATAATCTATTTTAGGGGCATCTTCCATTTAGCATGTGGTAACATAACATCTATTATATCTTTGCACACAAAGTGGTCCATAATTCCATTAATTTTGTGAATGGGACCAGTTCCTAGTGCTAAGAAACATCCCCAAGCCATAGCAGACGTTCCATGCTTAACACTCCTCTTGGTATATTTAGTATTGTATCTGGTGTTCTTTGGTCTCCTGACTGGCTGCTTGCAGTCGCTTCCAAAAAGGTTATACTTTGATTCATTACTAACAAGTATATTTTTCCACTGGTCTTCAATCCAATTTTGGTGTGCTTTGGCAAACGAAAGTCTTAGCTTTCTATTCTTAAAAAAAGTTAGTAGTTTCTTGGCAGACATTCTAGAAAACAAATTTGCTTCGTTAGCTCTTCATCACACAGCACGATTGGAGATTTGTAGTTCAAGTTTTTCGGTTAATTTTGTGGATGACAAAAATGGATCTTTTTTAAGCTATTTAATAATTTTTCGATCTAGTTTTTGCGATGTTTTTCCTGGGACGTCCGCTCCGATGGCTTGTTTTATAGCAGTCATGAAATCCAAATGATTTGACAGTTTTGCTTTCAGCCGATTTAGCTATATTAAATTTTCTACAAATTTCAGCTTCACGTTTTTCGCTTTTAAAATCTTTAGTATTAAATGTGTTATAATTTTTTTTTTTTTTTTTTGTGATTCTTAGTATGATTTAAATGTTTTAAATTTTGTTAAGAACATAAACTATTTAAAAATTAATATGTTCAATTGTTTTACTATTTTTTTATGTAAAAATTAATTGTTTTACTATTTTTTTATTTTAGTTTTGATCAACTTTTGTTCTAAATTTGAGTTTGTCCACCATGTTTTGTCCGATACTTTATATATGGTAAACAAGTACAGTCTGGTAGACTCTAACTTTATTAGATGGAGTTTATTTATGAAAATTACTGGTGATATTTTAAGAAATAGCTTCTTTGTGCTTGTTTCTTTCAACAAGCACAATGTGGCATATAGACCTGAACAAAGAACAAATGTTCTTTGTTCAGTCTTGTTCTCGGCACATTGGACACAGTGTCTTTTTGTGTCTTAACTTGTGTGTGATTCAACTTTCTTTGTCCTGTCCGTATCATTTTTATCATTTTCGATATTACTTTTGAAATGCAAAATTTGAAGAATTTAAATCATTCTCTTGTATTAACATTTTGAATTCTTGTATTACCAATAATTGAATCCACAGACCAATATGACTTCAAATATATATATATATATATATATATATATATATATATATATATATATATATATATATATATATATATATATATATATATATATATATATATATATATATATATATATATATATATATATGAAGATGATCCTCCTCCATGTAAGAAAAACTTGACTACAAACTCTTTCAAAGATAGTGGCTGAATCGTCAGCTTATCATTGCAATTGCTGAAGATTTATCTGAAACCTATTTGAATGTCCAAAATGTTCTGTCTCTCATCAAGCCTAACCCTAAAAATTTTGTTGTTTCTTGTGATCTGAAGCTGGCTAACATCCTCTGTGGACTTCAGTCTCACTAATCATCACATCCTTGTACGTGGTGTGATGTCCCATCAAATAACCTTGCACAATCTGGAAATCTTCGCACCTTTGAATCTCTCAAATCATCGTGTCAAGCTTTTGATGCTGCAGGACGTGACACAAAAAAAGGCAAAAGATTTCGGAAATGCGGTTTTTACTTACTATCTAATAGAAAAAAAAAGTAAAAATTTTGTGTTGTTAGGTATATAATTGGCTATAATATGGAAAGTTTTAAAAGTTCAAATCCACAAAGCATAAAGTACTAAATAAAGGCAAATACAATAATGTTCAACACACAGCATCAAAAAAACATAAAAAATGTTCATCAGTTTCTACAAAACAAAAACTATAAACTTTTTTTTTTAAAGATTTAGAACTTACAGTCATTGAGCTCGTATGGTCGTACTGCAACGTAAAACACGACCATTCTTTTAGGGATATAGACTGCACACCAAATTTATTGAGAAAGTCCTGTGATTATAAGATTACGTGAGGAAGAACCAAGTCAGAGTGTCTTTGTAACAATGTAATTTTGAATTGATCTGAAGATTTGTTGAAAAAGATTTGCAACAAGCAAACTTTGTTGTTGTTGCATGTGATGCATTGAACCACAAAAATACAAAACTTCTTCCTGTTAATAAAAGATTCTGTGTTGTTAAAATAAAGTCTTCGTTAAAAGATATTAAATTTTTAAAGTACAAGATAAAGTTATTGAATTTTCAGCTGATAACGCTGAGAACTTTGGTGCTTTATCAGCTAATAAATTAAATAAATATTCATGCAAAGCTTGAAAAGAATTAATCCAATAGATCGAAAATATAATGCTAAAAATATATTATAAGTTTAATATATTTTCTGTTCGGATAAAAATATTGAATTAGTTTTGCAACTTTATAGGTTGCTAATTCAAAATGATTCTTTCACATTCAATGACACAAAGGCTCTCATTATCAGCATGTATAGACAGAATACCTGTAATGTTTGAACCTTTTAAGTCTTATTTTTTTGGCGAAGAAAACTCTCTACTTGCAGTTTTTAATTTTTGTAATTCTGAATCTTCAGAAATTTGGTTGCTTTTTCTTTAAACCCAATTTCATTTTTTCATTAAAAATTTCTAAACTTCAGAGTGCAATGAAAGTAAAGTTAACATCGGTCTTTCATGCAATCAATTTTATGAAGAAATAAAAGGAAATAAAAATTTGTTATATAAAGCAAAGATTTCTGAAAAGTATGACTAAACTAGTTTCATGTAAAAAATATTGTATTTAAAGATTATATTTCCAATGCTTTTTTTTAAAAAGTTTTATTTCCATTTTTTAAGCTTTTTTGATGTGTTTCCATTAATGGATAAAAAATATTCGATTGAAATTGTCTCACTAAACACAAGACGTGTTTAATAAGCATAAAAAAAAAACAGATTATGTGTTTTAATACGTATTTTTTAAACGTCTTAAATATGTCTTGTGATTACTACAATAAAGCCTAACGCTTTTATTGTAGTAATCAAAAGTAAAAAAGTAAAATTTTTCTTACAAAAGTGTAATTATCGTTGTAATTAAAACAAAAAACACAATGTCATTTATAAAAAAAATTATTGCATATTATACTGCAATACTTTTTAAAAAGCAGGGTTGTTGCAAAAAAAAAAAATTCAAGTTAAAAAGAGCGCCGATATATATGAGGAGCAGCTCGCACAGCTCCCCAAGTTCGTTTTAGGAGAGCTTTTCTCTGCTCTCGTGCTCATTTAGTCCCGCCGAGGCCTATATATATATATATATATATATATATATATATATATATATATATATATATA